TATATATATATATATATATACGGTGTAACAACAAAATTGTCCAAATCGTGTAACAGCATGCGATAATTGTCCATCCCACAAAACTTTTTAATATAGAAAAAAAAAAAAACTAAACTGATTGAGTTTCTTTTATCCAGATTTTCAGATAAGACGTTTAGTCATCTTGACACCATATGTCGTAAGAATCACTGAAAAACTCTTTGAGTTATTCAGCTAGAAAGAGAACAGGTTAAAATCATTTTATGTCAACTCCACAACGTCTTCCCAACTGAGCAATGGTGAAACGAAAAAGATCATTCAGGGCTTGAGTAATGGTATCAACATTCACACTTTGTCTTCCATTTTCAAAGTCCATTCAAGAACCATTAAGAGAACCATGAGTAAGTATATAAAAGAGGGAACAGGAGAGAGGAAAACTAGACCAGGCCGTCACAACAGCAAGAGGGATCATCATTTCAACTTAGAGATAAATACATTCTTATCGTTCAAAGTAGAGTCCAATAGGGTTCTAAAAACCTCGAAGAATCCCAACAACATATCTTCAATCAGCGTAATCTAACAAATGAACAATTTTATGTGACACTGTATCTCTGATATTCAGCACTTTAACCTGTAAATATATAATACCTTAAAAGAATATTTATATATATATATATATATATATATATATATATATATATATATAATAAATATATATATATATATATATATATATATATATATATATATACTTTTAATTATAATTTTATCATATAGACAAAAAAACAGTTTACTCAATACAAAGATACAACTTCGTTTTGGTAAATTTCAACTCCACCTCGATCGAGCCCACTTTTGGATTAAATGCTGTGAACGTTAGAATTTATATATTACTTTCGTTCTCATTGCATCGGATATATATATATATATATATATATATATATATATATATATATATATATATCATAATTACAGGCGATCCTTAAACATTCATTCGGTTATAATTTATTTCATGAATATATACAAATATTCATCTCTTCAGATCGATGTTTTTTTAATAAGTTTTTTTTATTAAACATCTTCGTTCTGAAAAAATTGAAATAATTGTTAATGTAATGGATTTTTATGGATAGTCTGTAATTATGGATTAATATATTGATCTCTTTATTACTTTGAACACTCTTTGGATTCATGCCCTCCTTGGAATTATCCCTACCAATTATCAACGGATATATATATATATATATATATATATCCTTAAATCGGAAAACGTGTCAAAACATTTCCTATCATACTGTTATACTAGATCATACCTATTCTATTGTAAATAGACTCTCCCACAGATAATAAGTAGTAGTAGCATTCGCCAGTTGGGCTCAGTGGAGTTGAGTGAGTTAGTCGATGTCGGACATTAAAGTATCATCACCACAACTAGATTGCTGCGTCATTAACTATTATTGCAAGTTCCTAACGTTTTGTACGTCGGACCTAATTTAGGACCAACTTATTGAAATACAAGCCTCCACTATGAAAACAACTCTACAACACATACACGGCATCGTTTATAATTTGTGTAAAGTTTAATCTAATCGTAATATTGACTATAATCTAAAAAATTTTGACGGTGCATGCTAACTAAAATTTATCAAATACTTTGAACCCACATCGGGCTATGATACCTAGAAATTAAGAAGTCTTCAATTTTGGTCTTCGTTTTATCGAAATCGTTCGATTGATAGCGGTTAATAGAAGCGTGACTTGTAATTTGTGTTATTGTAATGACGGGCAGTTATCTTGTTGCTAAGTTGAATTTACCTTAATTACATTTGCCAAATATTTTATCTAATTGTAGCCAATGCGATATTGCATTTCGAAAAACCTAATGCCATTGTCTAGTTTCAGTTAAAACATCGGTATAAATGAATGTAAAAATGCCCTCTATTGAATTGATTACTGCAGACATCGAGGCCAAGAGAATATCAACTGAGCAGCCCAGAAACTTTTATTAATTGAAAGTTAAAGACAGTTTCTTGTAAGCATTAAATTGGATGATCTTTTTACATCTAAAGGAGAAGGTTAAAATACAAACTCGCCAATTAATCGTTGTTTTTTTTTTTTATTGATTCGTTTTCTCCGGATTATCAACCCTTTGCCGGTCATTCAGTTATGGACGTCTATCCAGCAATTCAAGTTTGAGTTATCTGCTGTATTTACTACACATTTCTCAGAGGAACTTTCTGCTAAATGTATTTTTGTATCTGAAACGTAAAAACGGTTATCAAAATAATAAATGGAATTTAGTATTACATTACTTTTATTACTATAATAGTGTAACAACATCAATTAGGAGCTTATGAAGCTTTATTTAACCCTTTGATCCCAGCATTCCAGGACAATTTTAACCCTTCTGCCTGGGCCCCTGAGTTAAAATTCGCAAATAAGTGGTATGTATATGTGGTATGTTTCATAGTAGATATAAATATAGTTCCAAAAATGTATGCATTATATTAGCAGCGAGAGAATATGATTTCATGCCTTCACTTTATCGCCAGAATTCTTTCATTGTGTGCCAGTCTACCCAACAGATACTGCTTCTCTTGATGCACAAGAATCGCCGGCATGTTGTGCAGCGGAGTGAAGACATGATAGCCCTGACAGGTAGTCTTTGTGGGTCACAGTTGGGTTTTTCTGCTTGAATTTACTGTATTTACTAGCAGTATACCCCGTCTGCGACCGGGTGTTTCATTACTGGGAATTTTTGCCGTCCACTTGGAAGAGTTTAAGTTTAAAGTCAGCCTACTCGAAAATCAATATTAGGAACAACAATTGGGTGCAACTGAGGCACATCCCCAAATAGGGGGGAATGTTAACAATTTGAGTAGGGGGTAACCCTGAAAAGGTCCGTTTTTGCGTTCTCAATCTTGCAAGGAAGGCACCTATTCCATGGATCGTCACAATAATAATATACAATGATTTTTTATTTATAATATAATTTTTTTGTAATACTAATAATCTTTTGCGTAGGATTTCAACTCTCTAAATTGATTACAGACATTACATTTTGGCTTTGATTTTTGCGCAAAATGCAAAAAATTACTTTTTTCGATTTTTCACATTCAAGGTTGTAATTTTTTCCATCCAATTTGAAGTCAAAACCGACACTGAAGAATTATCTATTAAACAAAAAAAAATTCATCGAAATCGAATGAAAACTATGGAAACGCATAAACAACATCCGATCACACACACATACATACATACATACATACATACATTTTGAGAATTATAGATAGATAGATAGATAGATAGATAGATAGATAGATAGATAGATAGATAGATAGATTACACAGCACAGGGCTTGTTAGTGAAGGCATCTTCTGGTGTATCTGACAGGTGGAGGCCGAGCTTTTGTAGGCGTTCCAGAGCATCAACATTGATTGACTGCCTGCAGCTAGTCTGATTGCACCCACCAGATCCACACAGTATTGATCTAGGAACTTTCTGAAGTTAGGGTCTTGGCTTGCTGGGGAAAAGTTGCCTGAAACAACACATATCCACTGTAGATGGCCCACATGACAAACTTGACGAAGAGACTTCTTGGCCAGCGATGATGACGGCGTGTCTTTTACAGACGTGTCATCTCGTCATTTTAGTAAGTCCCCCCTTCATGTAGTGGTTGTGGTCACTGACCAGCTGAGGCATTTTGATCTGGATTACTGTGCTATTTTTGTTTCTACGCCCAGCACTTCTGAATTTCCGGGGATTGTGACATATTGACAGGAAATTGTTGGGCTTTCTGTCATTCCACATCATTGCCAAGACGCCATCCTTGCATTGAAAGTGCCTATCACTACAATTTTTTTATTTTCTTTATTTTCAGGCTTTGTAGATATTTCTTTGTGTTGGTCATGACTGTTCCCTGCCAAGTGTATTCTGCATTGTCAGCAAGTACTTGAACAAATTCACATTCTTGTAGTATCTGTCCATCTCAAGGATCTGAGTCTTTCCATGGGCGTTAACCGAAGTCAAAACACGACGTAAGCGTTTACCCGCCGTTTAACCGATGGCTGGGCAATACGCCATTTTTTCTTTAACTCAGGTAAAGCGGTGATCAGGGCTCAAAGGGTTAACTCATTTTGCCTTCGTGATAAAAAACGTTTATTTTGTTAGGATGGATGGTTACAAACGAGAGGAGAGATGAGATGTATTTATTTTATTACCAAAATTACTATCGCAAGAATTTATTGGTTTTTTCCTTTTGCGCAATTACAGCCGTTTAAGAAATATTGTATTATTGGCTTTCAGAGAAGATTTCCAACTTGTTGGATGTGATACATAGGTGCCGCTCCTATTCTGACATAGGGGGTCAAAGGAGCACCCGAATACCCGTAGACGAAGATTTGGCTTGTCATATAGTAAAGTTGCAGCCAACCTCAGCTACAATGTACAAAACAGTAACGATCTTAAACACATTCAAATAATTGATTGATTCGTTTTGGAAGGCTTGTCAACGCTTTGCCGTTAATTAAAGCAAGAAAAATAATTTTAGATTATAAGTTTATTTGACGGGGAATAATAATATTTTATTGGTAAAATTTTTAATAATTGTAAACTAGCTGGTAGGAAAAGAGATGGATTCATACTTTTCCCATGAGTATTCGTTCATAATACGGAAATTGGGACTCGCCCTTCCGATTAAAAATTCCAGGACATTATCCACCATATCACCCTTACAATGAAGTATCTGAAGATGTTTAAACCTCAAACCCATCAATCAACCGTGTTTTTCATTGATTCGTTTCCTACGAATTATTAACCCGTTGCAGGTTATGTAAATACAGAAAATATGTTTATATTGTAAGAATTTATTTAGGGAAAATAATAAAAGTTTAGTGATATAAATCCTACTAATTACCCCATAGCTGGGGGAGAAGAAGTAGATTCATACGTTTCCCAAGGGTATTTGTGAGTAACTGAATATAAAGAATCTAACGGCAATTGGTACGCCCTCACATTTAATCTTACAGCACTTGGTATTCCCAAAGCGTCAATCTTCTAAGTACTGACCGGGCTCGACAATGTTTAACTTCGGTGATTATACGTGAACCGGTGTTTCACTCAGACGTAATCCAAGGCTGAAATGCAATTGAATGAAATACCAAGGATAGTTTCGTGAAAAATCAGGCATATTTTTTGTTTGGTTTAAAACGTACAGTGCCCACCTTTGGTTTATACTGTAACTATGCCGAGCGGATCTAAGTTTTTTTTTTGGGTGGGGAGAGAGCGTGATCTGTTATGAGCAGAAGTTTGAACAACGTCCGTACGCTCACAGCCTCGCTCACGATGACTTCTAACTTTGTGGCAGCATAACCATCGACGGCCTCCTAAGAACTCGGTCTACTCAATATCACTTATAAAGCTTGGCTTAACGACTAGTATGTTTTACCGGGTGTTTCCAATGGTGCCGCACACTGGGGTCGCCTTCCTAGACAAGATAACCTTGCTGGCAAATCAGCCATGAAGAGATAAGAACCTGAGTCTAATTGTCAAAAAGGAACTATTCTCACCACTCGACCTACCTATATATATATATATATATATATATATATATATATATATATATATATATATATATATATAAAATTTATAAAATAACATATTATAACATCACTACAAAAAAAGGTGGTCATGTTGAATGTAGAATAAAGAGTTTTCTCTTTATTCTACATTCAACACCATCCCTTGAAAAGACACCAGAAGTGGTGAAATAAAATGGCTATTTTTGGAGTGATGAATAATATGGTTATTTTATAAAATTTAAATACATAATACTTGCCCTACTCTGTATTGAGCACTCTTATAAGAGTAGCGTGTTTGGTTATTGGAATTTTATTCCGTCTACACCAATCCTGTATATATATATATATATATATATATATATAGTTGAATCGATATGAGTTTGTGACCGCCCGTTACACGCTTATTGAATTGCGTATGTATGCGTGCTCGAACAAATGGATACATATGTCTGAACCTGGTACCGCATTGTTGTATATGTATGTTTTTGTGTAAACCATAATGCCTACACCCGTATGTATGTATGTATGTATGTATGTCTCCGTGTGTATAAGCCTCATCCCAAATCGGGCACAGAGCATAATTCCCCACCTCCATCAACACCAAACTTATTCAAACAAAACTTGACGTAAATAGTCTCAAATTTTTTAAAAATAAATCAGTTTTCTGTGTATCACTTATGGCTGAAACAGACGGTCACAAACTCATATCCATTTAACTAAATATATTAGCTCTATCACTGATATTGAGCGCTTTCCAATAAGCACCGCGCATATATAAAATAATAATATAATAAATAAAATGGATATTATCTAAAGTGAATAAAATAAAGATAAAATACACACTGATAATGATAATGTGTATATATATATATATATATATATATGGGTAAAAATATATAGAAAATAGGAAAGAAATCTTTAGGTAAATAATCCAAAATTCTTTAGTAATTTTTATTATTTATTATTGCCATTATTTAAAAAAAAACAGTGCTCGATACAAGAGAAGAGCTTTAAATATAAGTATTTATTTAAAAATATGTTTCCAACGCTACATAGCGTTGTAAACATATTTTTAAATAAATAATTATATATATATATATATATATATATATATATATATATATATATATATGTATGCATATATATATATATATATATATATATATATATATATATATATATATATATATATATATAAATTCTGAATACAAATTTATATATATTCATATATATCTATATATATATATGTATATCTACATACATATATTATCATTATTATATATATAGTATGAATATGTATATATATATATATATATATATATATATATATATATATATATATATATTTATTTGGATTGATGTGAGTTTGTGACCCTGGGTTTCACGCTTTTGCGATCGTCAGACAAACTGATTATTTTTTTTTTAAATTTGGGTTTATGTAGATTGCGAGTATTAGTGTTATTATGGGGGTACGACGATTCCTCCCACTCATCATCATAACACTAATACTCGCAATCTGCATAAACCCAAATTTAAAAAAAAATTAATCCAACCAAATATGTTAGCTCTATCTCTGATATTGATCGCTTTCTAATAAGTACCATGCATATAATATATAAATAATTATATATATATATATATATATATATATATTTATTTATATTTATACACACACACACACACACACACACACATACATATATATATATATATATATATATATATATAAATTCTGTATACATTTGTATTTATAAAATAAAAAAAATATCACGTCGTGAATGACTACATGGATCAGTCAGATAATTTAATCAATTTTATACAAAGAAGATTGCTGGTTTCAAGCCATATCTTTAAGTTTCCTTACTTTCTCTTTTCTCTTCCTTTCTTTTCTTTGGCTCTCTTTGTCTCATTTCTCTATTCCCTTTTGATGACACACTCACTGCTTCACTGGGCACATCCGCTATAAATAAGTCAACATGTCTGGTCTCTACGTCTTTGCACATGTCTCCTTGAATAGACCTATATTTCTTTCTGCCTCTCTTCGCTTTTCTTTTCCCAGCCTTGAATGCACATCCGTTTTCTTCTCCTCCATCACTTCCCTCCCTCTATTTTGAATACATACCCCCTTTTTTACCCACCCCCAATTTTATGTTAACATAAATTATGTAGATAAATGTTGTTATGTGTGATTAAATTTGTATCTATTTATTATTGTGTAAATGTTTGGTCTGATGAGTTAAAACCGCAATATAGTTTTTAATGAAATAAAGCACTACCATGATCTTTTAAAGTCTCAATATATTTAATGAAATAAAATACTACCATGAACTTTTAAAGTTTTCAATATAATGATATATATATATATATGTGTGTGTGTGTGTGTGTGTGTGTGTGTGTGTGTGTGTGTGTGTGTGTGTGTGTGTGTGAAGTAAAATAATTTAAACAAGATATATTTCAAAATTCAAAGGACACGCAGTATATATATTTTATAAATGCTTCCGATTTTCGAATGAGTTGTTGCACATATAGATCAAAATTTTGGATAAACTGTTCAACGTTCATGTTTTTGTGCTTCTATTTGTTCAAGTACATTCGAAAACAAAATAAATATATCATAGACAGAATTACATTCTGACATTTTTGCAATGACGTATAACGTTCATATGCGATACGTGGAGTATCTCTGCGATATCCCGTGTCATGAGATGTGGGTTAATTTTTATCAGCATTTCAATATGTTCTTCGTCAAATATTTGTTCCAGGTCGTAATTTCCACTTCTTATCCTAGCGAACTATATACGAATAAATCTCTCATCTATTGCACCATATACATATAAGCCACATGTTTGTTTATTTTTTCTTTTTCCAGCGATTTTCATTGCCTATCTGGAAATAGAAGAACATCTCTTAATGAAAATGTGTCACATTTTCCTCTATTTTCACTTTTAATGCAAGGACATTTCAATTTCACTGCCCATGTACGAATCTTAGAGAAAGACGTGATGAAACGTTACTTTTCAGAATATATATATATATATATATATATATATATATATATATATATTATAGAAAAGTGAAACTCAATTGTAGCCAATTTTTATGGCCATTTCGCACCTTGGGATAAACTCCCTGGATCTGGTCAACACTAAAACGATTCATAAAAAATGAATCAAAAGGAAAAAAAATGAGTAAAAAAGACGTGATACCTTTTAGTGTTGACAAGCTCCGGGAAGTTTATCCCAAGGAGCGAAATGACCATAAAAATGGGGTACAATTGAGTTTCATTTTTATGTAATTCATTGCCATTCTCCATAATAAATATATTGAGATTGAGCTCTCTTTTGTGGATCAGTTTTAATATTTTATATTAATAGGATTCACTTGGATTACTTAGCCAAGGGTTTTACCTATATATATATATATATATATATATATATATATATATATATATATATATATATATATATTTAATGAAAAAACAGACCACTTTAAGGTACCATTACAATAATTTATTTCACCAAAATCCTTTCTGAAGGACTCCGGATCATTAGGTAACACTTCAAACAACGAAATGAAAGGAAAAATGGGATTAGAAATTGATAGGTATTGTAATTTTTGTAATTTAACAGGGAGAGTGATAGTTGTAGTTAACGAGACAAGGTAGATTATAGAGAGGGGTAAATTTCATATTTCTCTTAAGCAAGTTTTATATTGGGGTAGGAGGAGTGACCTAATCGTGACCTGTTTAGTAGGTTAACTTAACGGAAATGATATATAGGAATGGGAGGATAGTGGGGGGGAAAGAAAATGAAAAATCGAAAGGAGAGGGGTGACATACGATAGTAATACAGATATATCTAAATGAGTGTTACGGCAAAGAGAGAAGGGGAGAGGGAAGTGAATCGAAAGAGGCTGTAATTTTGTTTTAACAAAATTATCTAAAAGATAGATTTCAAGGCTTGATAGAAATTTAGATGTCTAAAAATGATGAATGTTATCAATTTAAACATTTAATTTAAGTAAATAGTTTAGGGACTTAATATAAGTTAACTACTATTTTTATTAGCACATTTATCGAGAACATATTAAAGAAATATTTAAAATTATAATAGTTTATTTACCCGAATAATTGTACTTCCATAATATTGTAAAAATAAATTTCGGTAACAATAACATCTATATTAGTTTTACTTTAAATCTAATTTATGAATGTAATTTATCTTTATTATTATATTGGTAAACTTAATTAAGGTTTAGGTTTCATTATTTAATAATATTTGAGGGCAATATTAAAGATTTTAAAAAGAGTACATATATCCACATAGGCGCCCTTATCCAAAACGTTTATACATATATATATAAATAGATAAATTCACATATAGATGTTCATCTGCGTATATATCAACAAGCATAACATCCATGTATGCATACATTCATTTCAAAAAACAAAAATTAATATTTTCCCTTTTTAAATAGTTGTTTCTAAACACACTTCGTTAAGTTGAGGTGGTTTTTTATGTCTGCATTTACAAATCAACTC